AACAACAACAACACATTTCTAGTTATTACTTTTGGAAAATCATGAAACTTTACATCTTAAGCAAGAGAATTACATTCTGAGCAGCACCACTATATTAGCTGTAGCTGAATTGGTTAAAAATTATAGTGAAGCAATGTAAAGAACCTCAAGATAAACAGATATACCTTAAAGGCTCAATGACATAAACCCTTCCTGGACAGAGGCACATAGCATATCAAAAAAATGCCTTCTATTTTCATATAATAAAATGACCCTTTCAAACAATTATTTGCTAATACAAAAATATATCACTCTGAAATTGTCTTTTGTACTTGTACACAGCTTCCAAATCACAAGTTTCCTGATGATGTAAAACTAGTTAATATTTGCTAGAATTGCTAAAAGTCTACACACGTGACCTTTATTTCTAGTTCAATAATCATGCTAGCAATTCATAACGTATTTCATACTTATTTCTAATTTTGTATGTCTCTGTGCCAAGATAGTGTTTTATTTATTTATTTGATTTATGCAATTTCTATAACCACCTATCTCAATTCAAGTGTTGACTCCTGGCAACTGCCTGGACTAGCCCCTGCAGTTATCTTGGCAGGATTTTCAGAAGTGCCTGCTTCCTAGGGTTGAGAGAGAATGACTGGCCCAAAACACCCAGCTGGCTTTGTGTCTAGAATTCAGTCTCCCTGATTCTAGCCTGGTATCTTAACCAAAACACCAAACTGGCTGTCATTTTTAAATTTCAACTGTTACATAAACAATATTTGGCTCTCGATATGGATCTAAATACAAATGTTAATTCAACATACAGGAATTATATATACCATGGAATTCAGGAATTGTACGTTTTGTAATAAAGTGTGAGCTTCCCCTCTCCTCAACATTTTTGCATCAGATCGGCTCAAATTAGAGAAGGATAAGCGTTCTTTTGCTCTTGTTTAATGGAAGATAATTCAATTTAGATTTAGCTGTTCCAAAGGTTATGCTTAAAAACCCTGCCAATGAAGGAAGAGAGTAAAATACCTCTACCTCCTCTCTTCCCCAACCACTGGAGTTGTGGGCTGTTGTCATTACTGATCCAGCACGTGAAGTTCTTAAAGGAAGAAACTGTTGGGATATAATCTGGGAATTCTTCTCTACTTTGCGTTTTCACTTGAGTTAGAAAAAAACCGCACATATCTTGTAATTTTACTCTTGACTCTTCTTTGAGACTAACATTTCACAAGTTGAATTCTCATTCTGGGTTGAAACACAGCAAGTTTTCCCAGCATTTGCAGTATCTTCTCTTCTTTGGAATGTACTTTGTTTTCTATTACAATTTTCACTTTGTATTGTGAGTATCAGTGGCTTTTCAAAATTATAATCAGCTGCAAATATTAATCTAGTTGTTAAGGGAAAAGTACCTGTAATAATGAAGGAATGTCACTGGTACAGTATTCTGAAAGCAACAGAGAATCGTCTTCTGCTAAAACTGCAGGAGAGGGAAAAGTAAAAAAGGTTTTAAAAGTACTGTATTAAATCTATTATACTAACAGACCAGCAATAAAATTATCTGGTTTTTAATCTTGTTTCCATACCTGAAAACACATACCGTACAACTTAAAAAATGGCTTAATACATGCTGCTCAAAACTCAATAACCACCATTTAATTCCAAGGACAGTTTTAACTGAACATCACGTTTCACACAGGTTAAGAGTGAACATATTATAGACCAATAACCACTCAAAAGTTATTTCCTTATTTGATATTTAATTGCCAGTTAGCAAATGTTAAAGTTTGGAAGTCAATCAGTACAATGCCACTCGTTCAACCACTGCCTAACATAAAACTAATAGAATTGACAATTCCAAAGAAGGGCAATGCCAAAGAATGCTCAAACTACCGCATGATTGCACTCATTTCACATGCTAGCAAGGTTATGTTCAAAATTCTACAAGCTAGGCTTCAGCAGTACATGAACCGAGAATTACTGGATGTACAAGCTGGGTTTCGAAGAGGCAGAAGAACTAGAGATCAAATTGCCACCATTCGCTGGATCATGGAGAAAGCTCGAGAGTTCCAGAAAAACATCTATTTCTCCTTCACTGACTATGCAAAAGCCTTGGATTGTGTGGATCACAACTAACTGTGGCAAATTCTTTAAAAGATGGGGGTACCAGACCACCTTACCTGTCTCCTGAGAAATCTGTATGCGGGCCGAGGAGCAACAGTTAGAACCGGTCATGAAACAACCGATTGGTTCAAAATAGGGAAAGGAGTACGACAAGGCTGTATACTGTCACCCTGCTTATTTAACTTATATGCAGAATACATCATGAGAAATGCCGGGCTGGAAGAATCACAAGCCAGAATTAAGATTGCGGGGAGAAATATCAACAACCTCAGATATGCAGATAATACCACCCTAATAGCAGAAAGTGAAGAAGAACTAAAGAGCCTCTTGATGAGGGTGAAGGAGGAGAGTGCAAAAGCTGGCTTGAAACTCAACATTAAAAAAACTAAGATCATGGCATCTGGACCCATCAATTCCTGGCAAATAGAAGGGGTAGAAATGGAAGCAGTAACAGACTTCATTTATTGGGCTCCAAGATCACCGCAGACGGAGACTGCAGCCATGAAATTAAAAGACGCTTGCTCCTTGGGAGGAAAGCTATGGCAAACCTAGAGGTAGAAATGGAAGCAGTAACAGACTTCATTTATTGGGCTCCAAGATCACCGCAGACGGAGACTGCAGCCATGAAATTAAAAGACGCTTGCTCCTTGGGAGGAAAGCTATGGCAAACCTAGACTGCATATTAAAAAGCAGAGACGTCACCTTGCCGACAAAGATCCGCATAATCAGAGCTATGGTTTTTCCAGTAGCAATGTATGGCTGTGAGAGCTGGACTGTAAGGACGGCTGAGTGCTGAAGAATTTATGCCTTTGAATTGTGGTGCTGGGAAGACTCTTAGGAGTCCCTTGGACTGCT